TAGCATTTCATTTCTTTACTGAATTTTTTTCCAAAAATACCCTTTTGGTATAATCCAATTACGGATACTACCCCCAATTATCAAATCTGTCACGTCCTCGATCGACAAGGACGATATGCCATAACTCGAATAAGTTTTTTTTTTTTTTGAGAAAAACTCGAATAAGTAAAACTCGCATAATTCAAATATTTCTTTTTTAATTACGTCATGAATTGACAGATATTTGAAATCTCAACTTTATAGTTTAATACATATCTTACGATTATGTTTTAGTTGGCTTCATCAATCAAATAACTAAAGACATGTTTTGATATACAATTATTTTTCATATTCATTGAACAATGGTAGATTTGGGTTGGTTTCATATGCGATTTATATTTCTTCTCGGGAATTTAGTGAATATCTGTTTAGTATATTTGTTTTTGAAAAATTTCCAAGTGTAAATTATTAATAAATTAATTAATATTATTTATATTTAGTTGGTATTACTAAACACCCTGAACAATTTTTAAAATTGAGATACAGTTTACGAATCTGATATCAAATAAATATTTCAACACTGAAACATCAAATGTAACTCTATTTTTTATTGATTTTGTTGTTTTCCAACTTTTATTTTCAGATTATCAACCAAATGCACTATTTCATCTTTAAAATTGTTTATGTATTTGTGATCTAAATAGTATACTTTTTTTAAATAATTTTTTTTGTTTTAGATTTTATCTCATATTATAAGATTTTTTTATAGTTAAAATATGTATAATGCAATATATTATAAACAATATAATATTATAAAATAATAATTATATAAATTTTATGACATGTATTCATAAATTAACTAATAATATTTTAGATTAAACTAAATATTTAGTTGGTACCTTTAGTTTACAATATAATTATTACTAAACACATTCAACAAAATTTTAATTGATATTCAATTTTCAAATATAATACCTTATACTGAAAATATAGAATATAACTTTATTTTTATTCAATCTATTTTTTTTACTAAACAC